CCTTTCGTGTCGCGACCATTGCCCTGCTACAAGACACTCACTCCGCCCACATCTGCGACCACTGTACCCTCGGACTTGCACGGGCGCCGCGATCACACTGCGACTTGGGTGCATGGGCTGTTGCATATAAGAATCAGGGCTGCGTTGGAGGCCGAAGGCGCGTCTCGCTGAAGCACGCGCGTTGCCTACCGCATACTGTCGACTCTTGACTGGGCCGCTCAGCATAAAGACAATAAAGTCGCATAATAGCAAGGACGACGGTCCTGTCTCTACCTTGTCTCGATCTTCACCGTTGAACCGTGCAACTCATCCACACCGCGCATCTCCTCTACCGTATCCGCCGTACAACGCGCAACATGTTCTTCCTCAAAGAGCTTGAGAAGACGATCCAGCTGCATCCCTCGTACTTTGGCCCGCTCATCCGTCAGCACATCCACCGCGAGCTGCTACAAAAAGAGGAGGGATCGAGCACGGGAAAGTACACCATCGTGTGCATTCTGGACTCGTTCGACATCTCCGATGGCAAGGTGATGCCTGGCTCCGGCTCTGCGGAGTACGTTGTTCACTACAAGGCGGTCGTATGGCGGCCATATAAGGGCGAGGTGGTATGTGGAAGCGTCCGACGTGATCATCGAGTCCATTGCTAATAATGTCAAGATGGACGGCATTGTCACCTCAGTGCTCCGCACCGGATTCTTCGTCGACTGTGGATCTTTGCAGGCCTTTGTGGGACGCAGTGTACATCTCACCCTAATTCATGCCTCCATCCATCACTAACACCGACAGATGATCCCCGCTGAAATCAAGTTCGACGCGAACGCTACACCCCCGCAGTGGACCGACGACGGAGAGCAAGTTATCGAGAAGGGCACCAACATCCGCATAAAGATCAAGGGTCTGAGATCAGAGGTGGACAAAATGTATGCGGTCGGCACCATGAAGGAGGTAAGAAAGATGAACGTCGGCTTTGCCGAACATCGGCTAAGCAAAGCTTTTAGGATTACCTTGGCCCATTGCCATCATAGCAGAATGAGTCGACGGCTATTGACAGTATGCGCCATTGTGGAGGGCCAGTGCGCGAGCAGTCTGCTCAAACAGGCATTTTCACTACAGAACAGATGTTATTGTTCGGCGGGACCATCTGGCAATTCATGCACAAATCAACATCGTCGGTAGAAACACGAAGCGAAATATCGAATTCTTGGCTGTATCAGTACTCGTAGGGAGTAAGGCAATTGCTCAATTGGTTCAAGGGTTTGCAGAACCAGAGCAGATGTGGCTGTATTGAAGACCACAGCGGAAGGAAATCATACCATCTAGAATTGGCACAGTTTGTAGCGCCATGCATTCCAATAAATTCCCAGAGCAGGCTTGAATAGGAACGCGTCGCACAATCTCATTGTAATGCAAGTCTTAGTGCAGCGCGGACGGCCCCTTGCGTCGAAGAGTGGCTTGGGGCGTTTCGGCCAACACCAGCTCCCGCACCTCCGCGTGAACTCCGCAGATCCGCCCAGCTGGACACTGTTCATAACTCGCACCTGCGCCTTGCCACTATACCCATTTCTTGAGGCTGGTCTCATCTGATCCTGCGTCGCATTCCATTACCATGTTATAATTGCTTGCGTTCTTGTTCATACTTGATCATTACCATGCCGCGACAGCGCGCCGCGAAGGAGGAGGAGACGGAGCTGCTAACCAAAGAAGAGAGATCCGCGCGCACTTCAGAAGACGGCTCCGAAACATCCATATCCTCCATTTCCACAACCTCGCTCGTCCTCGAACACATCAACGACCCGTCCCTCAATCGTGCGTCGCAAGCGAAGCGTGGGGAGAAGTACACGGACGACGATGACGACGCAAGCCAGGCGCGCGAGCCGTTCGACGTCGAGGATGGGCGGTACAAGGCCCCCATTGCTGTAGACAAAAAGACAAGGAGGTGGCTATGGATCGTGGGCACGGCCTGTGTAGCTGGATGGGCGCTTGCGCTCGTCTTCTTCTTGATGAACGGCAGCTACAAGCACGCTTCGTCCAGGCCACATGACCCTCTTGCTAGTTCTACCAAGGGCTCGGGGAGGAAGATTACGTTGGACGACGTCTTCGGAGGCCGCTTCTATGCCCAACAGCAAAGTGTCGCATGGATACCGGGACCACAGGGCGAGGATGGCTTGTTGCTTGAGAAGGGCTCGAGCAATGAGGAATACCTGGTCGTTGAGGACATAAGGTCCAAGGGCGAGGCAACCTCTTCTGCGAGCAAGACCACGCTGATGAAGAAGAACACATTTGAGGTGGATGGCACATACGTCTATCCCAGTGATGTGCAGCCAAGTAAAGATTTCAAGAAGGTGCTTGTCACGTCGGGTTACCAAAAGAACTGGCGACATTCCGGTACTGCGAAGTACTGGATTTTTGATGTTGAGACACAGACTGGCGAAGCTTTGGATCCGGACCAGCCAAACGGCGCAATTCAGCTAGCCTCAATATCTCCGCAGTCGGATGCCGTCGTGTTCACGAGAGACAACAACATGTTCCTGCGCAAGCTGAACTCCAAGGAGGTTATACAGATTACAAAAGATGGTGGCTCTGAGCTCTTCTATGGTGTACCTGACTGGGTGTACGAGGAGGAGGTTTTCCAAGGAAATAGTGCGACATGGTGGTCCGAGGATGGCAAGTACATCGCATTCCTGCGCACCGACGAGTCCACCGTTCCGACATACCCGGTCCAGTATTTTGTGTCACGGCCTAGCGGAGAGAAGCCCAAGGCTGGCGAAGAGAACTACCCCGAGGTTCGCGACATCAAGTACCCCAAGGCAGGCGCCCCCAACCCCATCGTCTCACTGCAGTTCTACGATGTCGAAAAGGGCGAAGTCTTCAGTGTCGAGATAGAAGACGACTTTAGTGACGAGAACCGTCTGATCACCGAGATCGTCTGGGCCGGAAAGACGAAGCAAGTGCTTGTTCGCGAAACCAATCGCGAGAGCGACATCCTGAAGCTTGTCTTGATGGACGTCGAAAAGCGCACCGGCAAGACGGTAAGAACTGAGAACGTCGCTGAGCTGGACGGAGGCTGGATGGAGGTCTCACAGAAGACAACGTTCGTACCGGCTGATCCTGACAATGGTCGTAAGGATGATGGATACATTGATACAATCATTCACGAAGGCTACGACCATATCGGCTACTTTTCGCCATTGGACAGTGACAAGCCTGTGTTGCTCACTCAGGGCGAGTGGGAAGTCGTTGATGCGCCCTCTCGCGTGGACCTGAAGAACAACCTGGTGTACTACGTTTCAACTGAGAAGAGCTCCATGGAACGACACGTCTACTCTGTACTCTTGAACGGTACTGGAAAGAGCGAAATGCTGGAGAATGGAGGTTCAGGCTACTACGACGCTTCCTTCTCAGCTGGTGGCTCTTACGCCTTGATCACCTACAACGGTCCCGGAATCCCATGGCAGAAGATCATCAGCACGCCATCGAACAATGACAAGTACGAAAAGGTCATTGAGGAAAACAAAGCGCTTGACCGCTTCGTACGCCGGCTTGAGATGCCCATTCTCAACTATCAGACAATCAACGTTGATGGCTTTGAGCTGAACGTCCTCGAGCGTCGTCCGCCGCACTTCAACCCGAAGAAGAAATACCCAGTTCTTTTCTATCAATACAGCGGGCCGGGCTCGCAGGAAGTCAACAAGAAGTTCAAGGTTGATTTCCAGTCGTACATTGCCGCCAGTCTCGGGTACATTGTGGTGACAGTGGACGGGCGAGGTACGGGCTTCCTTGGTCGGAAGCTTCGATGCATCACAAGAGGCAACATTGGATACTACGAGGCGCACGATCAGATCGCCGCGGCCAAAATCTGGGCCAGCAAGAAGTACGTGGACGCTGATCGCCTCGCGATCTGGGGCTGGAGTTACGGCGGTTTCAACACACTGAAGACGCTCGAGCAGGATGGAGGAGAGATGTTCAAGTATGGGATGGCTGTCGCTCCTGTGACTGATTGGCGGTACTATGGTAAGAAGACTCATGGTACTCATCTGCTTCGCTAATTGTTTACCGCAGATTCCATCTACACGGAGCGCTACATGCACACGCCGCAGAACAATGCCGAAGGCTACGACAACTCCACCATCACCGATGTCACTTCCCTAGCGAAAAACGTCCGCTTCTTGGTCATGCACGGTGTCGCCGATGACAACGTGCACATGCAAAACACGCTGACCCTGCTTGACCGGCTGGATCTTGCAGGTATCGAAAACTACGATGTCCATGTGTTCCCCGATTCGGATCATAGTATTTACTTCCACAACGCGAATAGGATTGTCTACGACAGTAAGTAATTTCGTGTGCCATTGATACGACGAAGTAACTAACAGAATTCCAGAACTTAAGTGGTGGCTCGTTAATGCTTTCAACGGCGAATGGTCGAGGATCACGAATGCAGTGCCCAAATCGCAACTTGATTCAAAGTCGATAGGAAGCGAGTCAAAGGCTCGGCATGTATAGTGTTTGACGCGTATAGAATGCGTAGGCGTTACAGGCGCGGAATTCCAACATCGTTACCTTGCAAAACTATTCTCATCAGCCATCCCGAATTTTCAGACACCTTTGGATTTCGCAGCTGATAAGCCGAACAATGTAGCGAAGCCAGCTAATATGCATGATGCATGATGCAGTGCTTGTGCTTGCTGATTCGCCGTTTTTGAGTACCGGAGTAAATATGGGAATATACTCAAGCTACCCACACTTTGACGCGATTTTGAACCTACCTGACAATTGTGATATCGCGGTATGGTCGTAAGAAGTCTCACTCAATGCATTTGCAGACCCAAAAGTGGCTGTCATCGAGGAAGCTCTCATCAGCTGCTCCTTCCCCTCTCGAACCCCACTTTTGAAGCCACTACATCACACATCGCAAGCATGACGGCATCTTCACTCATCCACTTGCCTTTTCCGCCTCGACTAAGCTGTGGCTTGATACATAAACCTCAAATATCGATGAAATGACTTTCGGGCCTAGCAACCTAGCCGTCTGCGAAACGTGCGGCACGCAATTCGACGTTCCGCTTGAGCAGCACCCTGAGACATGTCGGATCTGCGATGTACGTCCATCACCAACACCAAGGAACCTGCAATCACCGCAACCAGAATACGAGACACAAAAGCAGTAGAGCTAATCAATACCTAGGATCCCCGCCAATATGTTCCCGCATCAGGCCAATCCTGGACCTCACTCTCAGCCTGCCAACCCCTCCAAAAGAACACATTTGAAACAGATAAAGAAGACTCTCGTATCCACTACATAACCACGGCGCCTCTCTCTCCATCGGAACTTCCCCCGGGTCTGGCCGATTCTAGCACGACCCGCAAGCAGCTTGGTATTGGTCAAAGAGCCATCTTACTACAAACATCACGCGGAAACATCCTTTGGGACTGCGTCGCTCTCTTAAACCCTGCTACCATTGAGTTCATCAAGGGAAAAGGTGGGCTAAAGGCCATTGTAATCAGCCATCCGCATTTCTACACGACGCATTTGGAATGGGCGAGTGTGTTCGGGTGCCCGGTGTATATGTGCGGTGATGATCAGACATGGTTGAACCGGAAGGATCAGAATGGCGTGAGAAAGATGGTAAAGGGCGTCGCTGAGATTGAAGAAATTGGCGGCGAGGCCAAGATGATTCAATGCGGCGGGCACTTCGAAGGCAGCTCGGTGCTGTGGTGGGATCGGAAGCTTTTCATCGCTGATACGTTTATGAGTGTACCTGTCAGTCCTTCAAATCTCTTATTAATGGAGTCACGGTTGCTAACGATCGACGTAGTCTGGTTTCAACAACGCGCACCGCGTCCCGGATACGACATCCTACTCGTTCATGTGGGCGTATCCTAACATGATTCCGCTAACGCCCACAGCTATTCATGGAATCTGGAAGGCGATCAAGCCGTTCGAGTTTGACAGGACGTATGGAGGGTTCCCAGGGCAGAACCTGAAGAGGCCGGATTTGAAGAAGCAGGTGTTGGAGAGCATGAAGATCTTCCTGCGGAGAAGTGGACATGAGAAGGCAGATGTTTTTGAGGAGCGTGTTTGAGAAGAACGGCAGTGGAGAAGAAGGTTGGGACTGGAGACGCCGGCAAGGATACGTGATGATAATAGTTGTAGGTGCGCGTAAAGTGTGATCATACTCTATAGAGACCGTCACCACCACCGAATTAATGCAGGTTCATTATGACAACGTCTAATGCTGGATGTGAAACAAGTATATACGATCGCAAAGAATAGTTCGTGAATACCAAGGGCGGATGACAGCGCATGGAATGTCAGTGTGAGCCCAAGGCTCTTCTGAACTAACCAAGTCTATCCGAGAGAGCCTCCAAGAACCCAAACCTCGCCGTTGGATACCTTGTCGGCGATGCTGGTCACTTCGACGTCGGCAGGTTGAATCTGTAGGCTTGTGTTAGCTAAGAACAAATAGAATTTGGACCAGGTTAAGTTAGTCGGTGGGTAAATGCCAGCAAAAATCCAAAAATGGTCAAAAATGACCGAAACATGGGCAAAAAAAGATCCTGGAGTATCTGACTATAGCCAGACGAATGCTGAACAGAGTGGGACTCGAACCCACGCCACTTTCGTGACCAGGATGTCTTGAATTTTCATTCTAGACTTAACGTTAAGAAACCTTAACCTGGCGCCATAACCAGCTCCTATAATTTGTTAGATTTGGTCATTTTGAGGGTGTTCGACGGAACTTACGGCCATCTGTCCTTCTCTAGGAACTGTTCGATGGAGATTTGCTCAATAGATACAAATATATTGATAGTTGTGTGGGTGTGGGACGAATGGTGGGGCAGTGCCAACCAGAGGGCGGGACTACCGACATAGCGGCATGGCTTACCTTCTTTTGGCCGTCCTTGGACTCCCACCAAATCTCATTGCCGGCAAGCGTCTTGACCTTCTTGCCCTCCTCCCATGGGCTCTCTGGTATGATGTGGCGCTGCACAAAGCGCTCGAGGTTGCCCCGCGCTCGGTCTTGGCCGCTGGTGCCCTCGTACGCGTCCGCGCCAAAACTGTCGTAGTCGTCGGGGTCTTCCCAGGGCTTCCTCTTTAGGTCGCGCATGATGCTGTTGTTGAGTGCCAGCACCGTAGCGTTCTGCGAAGCGTTTTCGAGGCGGCCGGAGACTGCGTCGATGTCACGTGTCAGGCCGCTGAAGATGGCGATGTTCTGCGTCTTGCCGATGACATCGGATATGATAACACCAGTCGTCGCCTGGCCTTCAGGGTTGCCCATGATGTAGTCTCGGAGAGGTGACTGTTCGCTGAGGATGTTGAATGACTGGATAATGCTATCGAAGGGGCGGGCTTGCGCAGACGTGGCAAGTGTGAGGGCGATGGTTGCAAGAGGGTATGCGACGAAAGAGACGGGCTTCATGATCGTTCCAGATGGTGCATTAGGGTGTCGTTACAGGTTCTGGGTGAACGCGGCGTTGAAGATGGGAGCACAGACGTCATGCCGCGGTGAAGCCAAGACCTCGTGACCGCGCGACGGGTCCACGGGTGCCTTCCGAGCTTGGGGACCAACTCTTCTTTTCCTCACATGCCTTCACCAACGTGACACCCCGCGCCCTGGAGCGCGTCTAATCCAGTCGCGCCAAGTTTCAAATACCCGCCATGGAGCTTCAGATACCAACCGTCACTACCGTAAGAGCAGTCAAGTATCGCGCTCGTAGCCAGTCGCTAAGTAGCTCAGGACGACCTACGCGCCTTCCATGCGCAACACTTCCCACACGCGCCGCCGCCAGAACACATACTCCACGGCTTCGAGCCAGAGGCAGAAGCAGCTGAAGAATACTACGACGAAGCCGACGATGGGCTGGGCTACTACCCCGACGGCACGAAGCGCACCCTGACTGACGAGCAAATCGCCATGTTTCGACACTCCGAAATCCATGCAATGCTCCGCAAACGGCGAGTACGGAAGGAAAATGGCGAAATCTCTGACGACAACGATGTCCCTGCAAGCCCAGCGCCGGCTGTTCCACCCACGCAAGAAGACCTCTCGCGCACAGATGATGTCGGCAAGGCGCAGCCTGAGGCGTCTACGGAACCGAAGAAGCAACAGTGGGCGACCAGCAGTGCTACAACAAAAGCCAAGGCCAAGAGGAAGCGAGATCGATACGCGAAAAGGAGGAAAGAAAGAAGGTTGGAGAGAGGCTTGCCGCGCAGACGGAGCGGCCGCGACGGCGCAGACAGCGGCGACAGTGACGATGGAAGCGACGAATGGGACGCCTGGCACCAAGCCAACGGGCCCGACGTGCAAAAGGACGAGACCCTCGATCTAGACTATTGAACGGACAACGACAACTGATGGGCAACAACTCATTCATGCAGCAGCCGCTCCACCACTGCTGGCTTGGAGCAAATCACATATGCCTAGTCGACACCATGCTGTAAGTACCCTTCTCTCTTCACCCCCATATGCAACGATGAAACCCTAGTTATCATCCTTAGGCGTAGCCGGCGACAGGCTTGAGACGAGGGTGAAAGACTGCTTGCGGCCTGATCTCTTGACTCGTCTGGCGCTTTCCAAGACGACTCATAATCTTCTCACTGAGCAAAACTTCTCCCCGTAACACACAACATACTATCTGTACCATTGTACTAATTGTTACTAGGGTTCGTTTTTTATGTTGAGACCACGACTTGCGCCGGAGGACCTCGAAGAGACGCGCAGACAGGCAGCAGCTGTGATTGCGCCGCGATACTGGGAAGACTCTAGGCCCTTCGGTGGTTCACGGTCACCCTACGTGGACTCTATAAGAGTCGGGAGAATTGATTGCATCTGAGCATTTATGAAAGTACACAATTGGGAGAGCCGATTCCCCATGAAGCAGCCGCACTATGGAGATGCATTGAAGCCATTGAAGCCATAAAAATAGAGTCTTCCGCCTATCCTCCAGGACCTTTCCCAGAATACCACTGATGTCGAACGCGAACAATCTCAAGATGTAGCAGAAACTTTTGATAAGTAGTTAAACGGGAGCTCGCCGCCACGCTGTCAAGTGCCCTCCTTCCATATGTGAGTGCTCTGACCGTGTGTGAGCTAGGTCGTTATGCCAGTGAATTGTTCGAAGACCATCGAATGAGACAGGCAAATAATTTCAATCGCTATTGGTATTGGGCGTCGCAGGAGTGACGCCGCGCCACCTTCGACTTTATCAGCATGCTTTTAGGCGGACGACTCCATATCTTGGCGACTTACGAGTTAACATAATCACCCCATCCCTGATGGGTGTGGTCTACCTTCACTGCGAACGGCACAGCTTGGATGCTTGGTCTGAGATGTTCGTGCACGGCCTCCTCGACTTTCTCGCGGGTCACAGCTGGATCTTGGACCGATAATACCAAAATCCGTAGCTCTTGCAACGCGGAGAGCGAGCGAAAAAGCGCGGATCTGTGGACTGCAAGGTATAGCTCTCCGAGGTACATATCCATGTGAGGCCATGGGACTGTGAACGGCAGGGTCGTGATTTGCTTGCGCTGGTTTGGTTTGAATTTCTTAATCGATCTCTCTGCTGCCCGAACATTATCGACGGAGAATATCGTGAGAGCTAGCGGCATGATTGCGGCTTCTGAGTATATTTGTCGACAGGTTCTCAGAAGAGCCGTGGCGTTTTTCGGCTCTGTCGGTGAAGGGTGGAACCTCCCTTTCCAATTTGATCGATACAGTTTCCCACCCAACACAAGCTTCCAGATTTCGTTGCGAATCTCGGCGGGCATTCGAAGCAACGGGGAGTTCTCATTTCGTTTGACGCTGGCAGTCCGTTAACAGTTGCTCTTACTGAAAGACTAGATACACTCACAGATCCTTTTCACCACCTTTGGGTGTGACGTTGAGTAGGCCGTTCCGAAATTTGTGGTATCCGCGCGCCGGACGCTTGATAACCTTGTCTGCGCTCTTCTTGGTGGCAGGTGCCTTCGGGGCTTTGTCGCCGGCGGCGGTCTTGCGGGGCGTCATTGCTCGTGTACGTTGTCGAGATTGCTGAGGTTGTTCGAGCAATGCGCGGAGTTCTGGGTTGGAGTACAATCAAGAGATGATTGACCTTTGAGGTAAAAGCAAGGAAAGATCTGGCAGCGGAGAACTACTACGAAGGAAACCGCGTAAGACTAGCGTGTGACCGTGCGTTGAGCGAAGAGGCAAGCACGTGGCGGCGATCAGAGATTGGTGAGGGGAGGAACGATGGTGATGGTGATACGAGTCACCGAGTATGGGTTGCTACCTAATCCACGCCGTGTCGTCGCTCACCTTACGCGACATGTATGAGCGAGCGCCGGTACTGTTGGAGACGAGGATGGTTAGTTGACTTTACCCTCTACTTCGTGCTGCTACTTGACATTATATATGGTCTCACCCACCTTCGCCTCCTACATCCCGCTCGTATCAGGTACCTTGTCTCTTCTGACTCACCTAGTAAGCCCGACCTGCGCCTTTATCTGACCGCTAGTGCCCGGCAGTTCCATAAGTAGCTATCAACTCTACTCTTTTCCTTAGACATCTACTCTACACTTCCCAAATCATCGACAACCTCATCATGGCATCTCGAAGGTTTAAGCAAGCTGCGACCACTGCTAAGAGCACGAAGGCTTCTACCGGTGCAGGAGTAGTGAAGCGCAGTCACAAGAAGCTTCGTTTCCATGAGAACGGCCTACTCAATGTTGAGACACAGACGGGAAAGTACCTCAAGATGTCAGTATCTCCATCGACTTGGGTTCAAGTGGTTCACTAACTTGAACACAGCGCGAGACAGAACCAGCGGGACTCCCCATTACTGCGGTTGCCAGCAGAGATTCGCCATTTGATCTTCGGGTACGCACTTGGCGGCAAGACATTCTATATCCATCACGACGACCGTCAAGGCATTGCAAAGAATGAAACGGTCTCAAAGAACACCCTTGCTCTGCTCGCTGTCTGCCGACAGGTCTTTGCTGAAACCGCTTTGTTACCCTTCAGCTCGAACACCTTCTCAGCTACACATCCCCAAGTGTTCAATATGTGGATTGAAGACTTTCCCTCGGTCTTTGCTGAAGCTGTCACTTCGGTACGCCTTCATCCCTGCGTAGTGTTCTCTCTTCCGGATCAATGGCTCGACCTTCATGCCGGCATACCAGATAGGCAGGATCTCAGGCTCGGCCACGGAGACAAGCGACTGTCTTCGAACTTGACCTCTCTCAAGGACGTACAGCTTGTTGTGGGCATGGTGATAAGAGGCTCCAAGCAAGATAGCAAGAAGCTGCAAGAACGCGGTTGGCAGTTCATAAAAGGTCTGTATGAGGCAGAGAACAGCAAGGTCGAATTCACCAGAGGTTGGAGACTGCCTTTGCTTTTCTAGTGGTTGACATAGTTGCTTCTTTTATTCTCTTTTGGCAAAAGTATACTGGAATCGATCTGATCCAATTGCAAACGTGCGAGGAAACTACTACATCTTGCCTGGAAAAGTCTATTCATTTTGTGCTTTACTTCACCATCAACATTCTTGTATTGTGCCACAGTGGGCGATATTTCACTCTAAGTAGTCCTTTGCTATGATACAAAAATCCATTCTTGGCTTATGCATCTACCCTCAATCACTCCACCGACGCATCCATTCTACTTTCAACTCAACATGTCGGCCGCTCAAACTATTCCTCAGATCGACACACCTAACGACAAGCCTCGCCAAGGGAAGCGCGGCTACCAAAAATCCAGAGACGGCCTACTCAATATGAAACCCATCGGTAGCGAGGTTGCTATGTAAGCTCAGCACGGCCACATCTAAATTCGTAATACTAATGCCAGTGTAGTGTGCAGCGAAACGCCGAAGAATCGCCCCTCTTACGACTCCCTGCCGAAATCCGCGCCATGATCTGGAAGCTCGCTATTGGAAACCCTGTCATCCGCCCAGCATAGGGTGGACCTCTTAAGCCACTCAGATATAGATCCGTGTTTGAGGAGCGTGCGTCTGAATTCCCCGCACCGAGGCACCGCTTTGCCCTCCTTCGTGTCTGCCGCCAGATCTACTCGGAAGCTGCTGCGTACTCTCGCCATATCAGCGTCTTTCGCTTCTACGACTTTGGCAGTTTAACATGTTGGGTCAAGCATGCGACAAGTGCTCAGCGAAAGGCTGTACATAAGATACAGTTTGGCCGCTATGAGTACATACTCCGAAAGTGGATGTCGAGACACTTTGCGGGGGAGTTGAAGAAATTGCCGGCGTTGATCCAGGTTCAGATATCGTACTATGGGTACAAAGCTGAGGCAACTAAGGAGTTACTAGATGGGTTGGACAAGATGAAGGGGAACCTCGATAAGACCATGAACGTGAAGCTGGAATATCAAGCTCGGCAAGGTAGTCATGATTGGGTTTATACTTTCTTGAATGGGGAGGACTTCAACGTGTAATGAACTGGTAAGATCTGTCTATAACAACCCATGATTGTTTGCTCGTGCGATGATAATGTGCTAGGCTGGGGCGAAGATAGCCATCGTAGTAAGAAGCGGGAAAAGTAACATTTGACTAGCAGTAGGAATGGGGGAATGCTAATGTCAGCCGCTCAGATTCAGCATGCACTCCCCACGTGTCGGAGAATTTAGAAGAAAGACCGGAAGTGGCGCATGGGAAGAGCGGCGACGGATTTGACACGGTCTGATGGCTAGCCTTTGACGATGGGTGGTAGGAGCCGTATCAAACGACGTATAACAGTGATGAGGAAAAGCTCAGCAGTTGTCTTATTGATGGAGCATGGGCGAAGTCATGGCTCAGCCTTGTCTAATTTCGATCGCTGTGCAAGAGCTGAGAAGTTGGGCGCTCGTGCCCACTGAAGGCTTGGGAGCTCGCTCAAGTGGTGATGGAGATAAGCCGTGCAGGCCGGGCTGAAATGTTTTAGAGGGTGATGGTGGTACTCTAGGTCGCTGCGTCAGCGGATGATCCAGGATTATAGTCGGATCGCCGTGGGTTAACGGGCACCGAGCATGCGTGCGATGGACATCAAACACATGCTTGGCTGGCTGATGATCAAGAAGCCCCGTCTTGCCTGTTGAACATTGCGGTCAGGCCAAGGCTAGCTTCGGTGTCTTGTCTGCGAGGTCGTTCGAATGTCGGGCTCGTGTCTGTCGCTGTAGTATGTGCATGGTCGCGCTGATCGTCAGATATATCGAGTGAAGGTATTCTGGGTGGGCCATTTGGGATGTTATTGCCAGACATGAGAAGCGGTGTGCTTCCATCAGATGAACCAGGTACCGGTCGAAGCGGCTGGGTAGATATTTTCTTGGTCTTCCGTAATCTGATCTCTCTCCATACGAATCGAGCTTGGCTGATTTGACGTTTTGTGACGATGACTAGTTTTGACAGTATCCATATTGGAACAATGATTGTCAACATGTACCTCTGAATTACTTGATATTCATCCCCACTGCCTGCGCTGGCTGCGCTGACCATCAAGGTGGTAGAAAATGCGCAAAGGATCAGAGATAAAATGGCGATCTTTCTGGTCGTCTCGAAGAGAGGTTGACTTGCAGCGCCTACAGACTCATCCACGCCATCACTTGTTAGGTGATTGGACGACTCAAGAGCCAGTAGTTCTGATGTAGTAAGACTTGGAGAAGAATTGTCTGCAGCATTGACCCGATGTAACTGTTCTTGGGTTGATGAAGGCTGAGACTTATCCGACACGACTTGCTCTTCACTTGATTAGCAGATTTATAATATGAATAGAGAGATGACTTACCATTAATCATCTCAATCAGAGCAAGCAGTGGGAGGACGAGTAAACCAATTGCAACGACTTGACCAAAGCCAAGCATCGATGGCCCTTCCAAGAGGTCTACATTGGAATTCCATACTGCTCTGACCGTCGTAGTCGTTCCGTAGACAAGTTGAAAAGCCCATACCGGAATTTCAGAAAGATAGGCTTCATGGTATTGTTCGAGGAAGTACCACGTAGAGACCCTTGTCTTTCTCCCGAATGGTCCGATCTTGGTATCGTAGTAGATACGCGCATCGGCAACGAGTTTCGCCGTCTCTGCTGTGGCAAAATTGTTCATCCGGCTCCAAAAGTGTACTGATATGCGATCGATCAATGTAGTAGTAACATGGCGATGATGGGTGGCTTCTGGAGCGGCTACTCGAATCAGGGCTGAGATATGCTTGCCCCATAGAATTACCAACACAGGGACAACAAGGATACTCACCACGGCTGCGTTGTAATATAATTCCCTGTCCCGTAACGCGCATTGCATGACTTGACTTTCTGACAAGTAGGACCTGCCTTGGTCCACGTAAAATGCGAAGCTGAAGAAAACGACGAAAAGAAGTGTGAAACACACCCGACAGTACCTAACCCAAGTGTGCTGGGCTAGGTGATCCCGGAGTACGTCAAGAGACATAGTATGCGTAGCCACCGAGAAATAAGCCAGTGACGTAACGATATGCCATTCATACCGATGAATGACACATCGACTTGAAAGCGCAGCAATCAGTATAGAAATTCCGGTTATAAGCTGCTGATCACTGAGCATCTTGAGGAATCTGACTAGAACACGGCTATGGTTGCGCTGATTTGGCGTCTGCGTCGATATTACATCTTCCTCGCGGTTGTGGTTTCGTTTTCGCCTGAAGCAACTCTTGAGTAACATAAGTACGTGCTGATCGATCGGTTGCAGCAGACCCGAAGGCAAGGTAGCTGTCAGGTACCCCCAAGTTACCACTGAGAAAACAGCCAGAGCGCTAAAAAAGAATGATATAAGAATCTGGCTTTAAATCAGCACGGTAGTCATCTCTTGGGTTCGATACTCACGCCGATACCCGCGATATCCGCATTGAACTCCATCTTTTGTCTGGGCCCCCAAGGATCCACATCATCACATTTCACGGAACTGCCACAGTTGCCCATAATCGTGTTCAGTCACTCAGACAAATGCAGTAGGGTACTGGTATGGAGGCTTATGGCCTGGCGGGAGCCGTCGCTCTGCTCACGATGGCGATGCGTCGGAGATCGTGACTGTGATAGATGGTCGGTCGGCCAGGAAGGCGAGCTCTTGCTGCTAATCTGATGTACGATAGTACTGTACTGGAAATCCAGATAAAATGGCGCAGTCGATACTTTGGTGTAGTTGACTCCCGCGTCGTGTTGAAGGAAGCTGTGTCCGACCGAGACAGCGAAATTGAAGGCCGGCGTCAGCACATCTACAGCCTGTTCAAGCAGGGAAGACATGATCACCCGCGTCGTCCAGGCCGCCACGAAGCCTTGATTGGGTGGTTTTAGGCCCCCGAATTAAAGGCAAGGCTGGCTCGGGTGTGGACGGTAGTTGCAGATCCACGTCCTACGCAGGATCACATTTCGAACACCGCCTCAACCGGGTAATTGGCGACTGCGCATCTGGAATTGGTCGTATGTGATTGGCGCATCTGTGTAAGGTGCAGTAGGACCATGTTGTTGTGAGGCAGACAAGTGGCAGGCGGTTGTCAGATGTGGAAGGTGCTGCGCTATGTATTGTTGACGAATGTACAGTGCAGGAAGGCTGAGACACAGGCTGCGAGTGTCTAGGCATCTATCGAAGTCAGCAACACGCATCGCAACGTGCAACACACCTTGGAATGTGTATACCTTTTCGATATCGTGGCTGTAAGAAAGTGTGAGTGACAGAGCGAGGAAAGTGCCAGGACGCCCTGCTGCTTCCTCCGCGCTGAGTCATGCCACGAGCCAACCCTCCAATATACTAGCGTAGCGCGAGTCATTGACGGCTGCGAAACCTTTCAAGGCTCTTTCAGTCGCTTTCCACAAACTTTACTGCATCAGTATTACAATTAGCATGAGCCTGCAACTATCTCGACTTACACAACATGTCGTTGTTTTCAAATAAAAGCTTGACGAAATCGGGAAACATACAGCATCACTCTTACAGTTGATTAAGCATCCATTGTTGTTCATTCGTCTTTCATTCATATAACCGGTTCAAACCAGTCACGTTGGGGTATATACAACTCTCTACTCCTTGCTCAAATCCGCAATCTGCAAAACCGCCTTACCAAAGTTCTTTCCCTCAAGCATACCAATAAAGCCCTCAACCGCATTATCAATACCCTCAGTAACACTAATCTTCGCCTTGAAGGTGCCCTCGGACAACCACTTCTGCAGCTTCTCCTGGTGCTCCTTCGCGTGCTTAGGACCCATGTTCTCGTCACCAACAATGAAACCGCGGATAGTAAGGCGCTTGGCAACAACGTTCATGAGGTTGCGGATGGGGTACTGCTCGCCGGGCTTAGCGTTGTACTGGGAGATCATGCCGCAGGCGATGATGCGACCGAAGTTGTTCATGGCGTTGATGGCGGCTTCGAGTTGCTCGCCGCCGACGTTCTCGTAGTAGATGTCGATGCCGTTGGGGGCGAGGCGGGCGAGGGCATCGGCTGGCTTCTCGGTCTTGTAGTTGAAGCCGGAGTCGAAGTTGAGCTCCTTGGTGATGAAGTCGAGCTTCTTGTCGTCGCCGACGGAGCCGATCACGGTGAGACCCTCGTGCTTGGCGAGTTGGCCGACGAGTTGGCCGACGGCACCTGAGGCGGCGGAAATGAAGATGGTCTCGCCCTTCTTGGGTTGGCCGATCTCGTAGAAGGAGGACCAGGCGGTCAGACCGGGCATACCGAGGGGACCGAGGAAGTACTTGGGGTCGAGGTTGTAGGGGTTCTTGAGCTCGATGCAGTTGGCGACGGCGTCCTTGTCGAGGACGGAGTACTCCTCAATGGGGCTGATGCCCATGGTGATGAGAGTTTGGCCCTCCTTGAACTTGTCGCTGGCGGACTTGACGACCTTGAAGATGGAGCGGTTGGTGATGGGCTTGCCTAGCTCGAAGGGAGGGGAGTAGGACTTGACGTCGGGTGCACGCATGCGGCCACGCTGGTAGGGGTCGAAAGATGCGTAGAAGTTCTTGACGAGAAGAGCACCCTCTGGGAGCTTCTGGTCGAGGTCGATGTCGCGGGCCTCAACAGCGAGGTCCTGGCCTGGCTTTGGCCATCCCTCTGGGACTTTCTTGAAGATGACGCCCTTGTTCTGAACCATGGTGGTGTGTTTGTTGTGTTTAGACTTGGGTATTAGGAAGGAAGAAGTAGGGTATTGTGTGTTGATGTTGTAGAGTGGTTTAATAATTTGATGCTGAAGATTGAGACATGAGCACCTAGCTATATACCAACACCTCTAGCTGACAAACTGTGATTTCACCGCCGAGAGAAAGACCCTGATTGCATCATGGGTGGAGGGAGGGACCGGAGGCGCCGTCCTAGCACGGCAAGCCCAGTCGTAACGTTGCATATCGGCCAGCGACCGGCAAAGAGTCGCAAAACGAATTTCGTCCGACCGCAAAAGCCACTTCTTTGGTTGAAGGCCTCGACGCGGGGCCCGAAACTTGTCGCAAATGCAGAATCTTCGAGACAACGTTGAACGACACGAAGCCATGACGAGCGCTCGCGCCGGGAGTCACCCGCTTTGGGGAAGGTGCCCGCTGCGAGATTTAAGGCTGAGCCGAGGCAAGTGGGGCGTGGATTGGTAATGGAGGGGTGTAGCTAGAAGTCGCTATGGATTCAATGCACTCAGCGGTGAGGATGCTAGGTAGTGTGCTGACTTGGAAGGCTTAATGAAACGTCCGAGCATATGTCTGATTCGTTTTGTGCGTTAGCAATTGGAGCAGCATGTCGGAAAATGATCACGAGCAAGCCAAGTGCGTCTCAAAGCGTGTCGTACAAAAAGCTCTACAATATTCATGCATAGCCTGCCGGGAGGATACGGACGTAAGTCGGTACATTGATTCCTACGTCTCCGTTGGATGCGGTGCGTGATGAATTACTTGTGTATTTGTCAACCATCATCCTCCCTCGAAAGCAGTCAACTGCTCCATAGAGCTATCTGACCAAGCCTAGCCTCAAGAAATCTATCGTAACCTTTACTCCGTGTAAACACGCGGAAGTTCCCTTGTTGGGCAATGTCATGCTTAATCCCGTCGTCGACGGCTCCTACGCCCAGGTGGAGATTTGTATGCACGCCATACACTATCGCTCGCCTGAAATACTCGGAGGAGGTTCTTGTACTACTCTTCCTCTTCTTCCTCTCTGCTGTCTACAAAGAAGTCTCCCTCTTCCTCCTCAGGCTCCATGACCTTCTCTATCAGCTTCAGCGTCTGTCGTAACGGCAAACCGACAACGTTGTCGTATGACCCTTCTATGCGCTCGATGAGGCACGCGCCCGCTGTCTGTATACCGTAGCCGCCTGCTTTATCGTTGCCGTCGCGCGTTTTGACGTATGCAAGGATCAGTTCGTCGGTCACTACTCGTGTTAGCATTCAATTCAGCCATGTCTCAAAAGGAAGAAGTACCAGTAGGATCAAACATAACCGTTGTCTCTTCAACATGCGTCTCCATGGCATATCCCGGATCTACCGCAGACTCTAATGGCTTCATCACCGCAACGGCGGTCATAACCTTGTGCGCGCCCTCATCTCTCAGCATCTTCAGCGTTGCTATATGGTCTGCCTCGCTCTTTGGCTTCTCCAGTATCCGCCCAGCGTGCGATACTACGATTGTGTCGGCAGCGATGACGATGGCAGGTTCGCCGCGCTCGCGATTGTTAATCTCGGTTTTGTATACGTCATGCGCTTTGGCGGATGCGGTTTCGAGGACGTAGTTCAGCGCGCCGAGCGAGTGGTCTAGGTTTTCGGCGAATTTGGATGGGCATACGTCGATTTTTGTGAGGCCGATCTGATGGAAGTCAGTATCTGGCATGTCCATGGCCGGGTAGATGTGATGCTACCTGTGCGAGAAGCTGTCTTCTCCGTGGTGACGCGCTCGCAAGCACAACTCTAGATCCCCTCAACTCATTCAAGGCTGGTAAGTTGAGTGGAGGAGGAGGAGGCCCTGGAGGCGGTCTCTTCGCTAATGGTGCGCCTGATCCGGGGTTGTTTTGTGGGATTGGTGACTTCCGTGCATCTTCATACGAGGGTGGAGGATCAGACGGTAGTAGGGGCTCTTTGGCGTCCATTGTGGCGGATGAAGTATGTTTAGCGATCAGGTGATATGCAGAGGCTGCACTTGAATAATAAAAGGTCAAAGAACTGGGTATGCGCTGCGATTGTAATGGTGTTGGGGATATCTTTCGATGAAGCTATTGATTTCGGGGATGCTTCAGGGTCCAAGCTCCTGCGCCACCCGACTGGATGACGTTCGCCTGGGGAGCCGCAACGCAGATCTCTACTTTCACTTTCCTTATTCTGAAGCACCGCAACTACCTTCCAACGTTCAATTGTCCACTGCAACGAAAGACCGCCGCCTGTTACTAACAAAGCACAAAAATGGGAACACGGAAAATAGCAAGTACGTGTAGAATTCAACCAAAGCCTAGAGGCCTTCAAGGTCTTCCGTACTCAAAGCTAAAGGCTCGTTACCTAGGTATAACTGTAATGAAGACCATCGATCGTTCCTAAGATAGATGATCTATGATATATATCAGGATCCTCTCCTCCGCCATTTCATGGACAGCCCAGAAAATGGTATCGCCTATGTCCGACCCCGACGGTGCGCGAAACCTCAGCTTCATTACGCCTTGAGTAAGAAAAGTTACAAAGAATAGAAAACTTTCCCTCGTTTCCTCATCGACCAAGCACTCAGATTTCTCTCCTTCCTTTCCTGAGGCTACATGTGGGACACGAGGTGCGATCCACCAGCAATCACCAAGTCCGTAGATGTATAGCTGAGTAGCAAGCGGATAGTGTTTACCATAGTCATCGCTTTTTTCATGCATACCGAAGCACATCGTTCCGACGGTGTAATCTCGATCTAACAATACATCTAACAATACAATACGGAGTTGCTACTTTCCGCGTAGCGGCCCTGCAAGGGTTGTAATTTTCGCGAAGCGATAGCCTGTACCTCTACTTCCCTTTTATAGCCTTCTTATACTTTATTATAGCTTGTTGCTGCTGCTAGAGAGGGTGTAAGATGCCTCTTTTTAGCTGTGCACGCTCTACATTTAGCCTTAGCAGATAGAGCGGGCATACTTACTTCCGTAGCCGGTGTAGCTATTCACTCTAGCCGGCTGGTCTATCACCTGGCATCTTTTCCCATCCATGATTCTTGATAGGCCATAAACCCAGGCGAATACAGAGTCCAATCGCCCTCCAAAGACTCCATCGGCATTTCTTTACCATCAAGAGCCCATTGTCGCACGTTTCTCTCGAATCGGAAGCAACTGGCATTGTATAACTGGTGCCTTTTGAGAACCTTCAAGTAATCCTAGGAAAACTTGTAGCCTTGCGCTTCTTGATAGCCAGCCGATGTACTCTGCGATAATTCTTTTTATTACGGAGGTGTTCGGGTAACCTGCGTAGCTGCCTCTGCTCACGCTCCCTTGATGTAGAGCGCTTTTCCATGATGCAAAACGTAGACTGATGATCACCTGCCGAATGAAAATGTATTGTGGTCGAAGTAAAGATGGAATGAAAAGACCTGCGGATGTTATGGTTGGGTCGATGCTCACCGTGCACGTCATCACCTGATCGGTCTGACTCGATCAGGCTAGAGCTGCCATAGGATCACCCAGGTGCCAACATGTCACCTACCTTTGTGTCCTGTTCAATAGCTTGTGTTTTCTCAGATGCAATACGATTGCTCACATCTGTCAAAGCTATTTTCCACAGTAAGCAAAGCTTTAGATGCTGTTGCCTCCTTTCAATCTGGAGAGAAAAAGGTCCACGCGCGCAGGGCGGATTACCATACAAACTACGATCTATAACAACCAAATGATAACGATCAACCCCCTCAACCAGGATTGGAGTATCGAAACAGCGTCTCTTGACCCTGCCCATACTCTACGGAGATCAGACTACCAATGCTTTCTCTTCAACCGGGGCTTGAGCATCGACACAGCGTTCTCCGGCACCGGAGATACTTTACAGATCTCAATCTACCAATTTCGTCTTGTCGACGTGGAACATCTTGAGTATTGCCTCGTATGCTTCGTCGAAGTCGATCTTGTCAATCTCTTTCTGCATCTTCTCCCTGCCTGTGACGATCTCTTTGGCAATGCTTGGCCAGTCGAGAGTATCATGACCGATCATCTCTTTTGCGCCGCTGTCTACATGCACTGGCAGTAGCTTCCCATCCTTCTTCCTTACGATACCGTCGACAATGACAGTCTCGATATCGGCCAGGCTGGAGTGTAGGATGATGGCGGCGACTGGGTCGTGTTGTGCGGCGCCCACCATACTGGGACTCAGAGCATCGAAAATGACCAAATCTGCCTTGTACCCTTCCGCGATGCGCCCAATCTCGCTGCTCATGTTCGCAGCCTCTGCACCCTTGATCGTTGCCAGATTGAAGGCGGCCTCGACGCTGAGGCTATCGGGAAGAGCTCGTGGAATGTTGCCTTGTTTCATAATGTGTTCGTTGTAGTGGTTTCGCGCATTTCCGAGCCCGAGTTTTGCTTCAGCGATGATGGAGCCGGCAGTGGCGGAATGACAGTCAACGCCAAGCGCGGCATTGTCTTGCAGTCCGATGGAGTCGCCGCTCACACCTCCATCCGGGAATGAGGCATCAAAGCAGTAAGATCTCCCCATGGCCATCTGAAGCTCTGAACTCGGGGTAGAGCTCACGAATGCACCAGCGGCCTTCAAGAGTTCAGCATCAGCCTTGACGATCGTGCCACCATGCGATACGATGATTTTCTCATCTAGTAGACCATGGTTCGACGCTGCTAGTATCACACTACCTCCTAGCGATACAGAGCCGTGGGTGGTAATCGTCTTGACGCCTTTCGCATTCACCCTGGCAAATGTACCTTTGATTATATCCGCAGGGAGAAACCAAAAGTCGAACGCAAAACCCAGCGTTACTCTTCCTTCTCCGAAAGGCCCGTTATCGGCGAGCTCCTCGAAGGTGTTCATGACCCAGTCCTCGAGAAGATTTGGATGCCAGGTGAGGGGGTTGAACTGCTTGACGAGCGAGATTGGAGTGTAACAGAACACGGAACGCATGCCAGAAGATGCAGTACCTGCGATAGCGGCTTTGGCGTGTTCTGGTGAGCGGGTGATATGTGCGTGCTCAACCACCGTAGTTGTGCCAGCTGCAATGCTTTCCAGTAAACTGGCGAGCTGGCCGTAGAAGACATCCTCGGGCGAGTATTGGAAAGATTGCGAGTTGCCTGCTCTTTGTTAAAATGAGGTCGTCTATTTCTACATAAAGCCATACCAGTCACCATGTATTCCAGCAGCTGCTCATTGGCATGCCTGCCTTTGAGCTGCGTCTGCCAAGCATGACGGTGAGTATCGATGAAACCTGGGCTGATGATCTTGTCGGTGCAGTCGATAGTCTCGGTTCCCTCAGATGGTTTGATATCATGCGCGATTCTCGTAATCTTGCCGTCTTCGACAAGAACATCGGATTTGGTGGGAACGACGTGGTTGTTTGCATCATGAATCAGAGCCACACCGCCCCGGAGAAGAAGGGTTTTGGAAGCCATCGCACGAGTCGCCACACCTGTGTATAGTTGTCGCGCTTCCACCATTGCTAAATCCAGGGTTCATATACCTCTTATTACTTTGCAATATCGCATTACGCCCCGGTCAGGGGTGAGGTCATCGTTGCTTCCTTTGACCCCTCACTCCGCTTTCATCGGCACCCTTGACGCATCAAGAGCGAGACGCGACTTTCCATGGCTTTAAGGCTTCACCGAACGACGAGAAACGGAGTTTAGGACATCAGTCAGCTATGCATCTAGATTTACCTGCATTTCGCCCTATCGAAAGGGCACACATATTGTCGCGTGTTGGAAGCTGAGGTCAGCGTCGCGTGTTGGTTTTCGCGAAGGGTCGATGACGTAATCTCGTGATCGCTTGAGCGCTCCATCAAGGGCTTCACGTGAGACAGCTTTTCCGGCATCAACTACGGAACACCAGCATTATGTCTTTTCACGACGGTGTCAGATTTTGCACAATTTATACATCCGCGTGGAGCTACATTTGCGCAGCATCTCGCACGCGCCATTGACAGCAGAGGGCTCCTTAATCCGCAAATGTACTGACATTCGCCAGATCACGCATTATCGATCTTCAAGTGCGCTACCAAGCTCAAGCACGCCATGATTCACCTCTTTCATTACTATAACGACTCCTCTCGAACGAATACCACGATACCTTCGAGTCCTCCCTCCTTGCGGACGTCCATTGCCCGACTAGGAGGTGACCGACATAAACCCCCGTAAGGACACCAGTCAGCCCGTCGCAGTCGGCCATCCCACGTTCTATACGAACTCCAGACCCTCCTCGGCGATATACATACGAAGGTGCATAGGGCTGGATCGGCCAGACTCCTGGGATGAACCGCCACTCGCTTCATCAACACTCACGAGGATGTGGCCTCATGCTGCGTCGGAATACCCGCAGATCATGCAGACTCCGTACTGTTCCAGACTCTCGGCTCGTGCTTGCTGGAACCCACGTCGCTGGTCCTGGTTGCATGCATTATAGCGTGGCAAACCAATGGCATCCAAGCATCTTGGACAATTACACATCGTAGCACGCGTGGTGAAGAGGCGGTACAGGCTGGTTGTGGTGGCATTCCGCTAGGTCGTGAGCGCGTGCGTAGCTGAACAGTTGCTTCTTCTTGAAGAGCGTGTCGATTCGCTGGCCCGCGCGAGTGTGATGCATGCCTCAGATGGCGTGCTACCACGAAGTCGATCCGCATAGTCTAAGCGATTCAGGTAGGAGTTCAGCTGGAAAGTCCGCGCATGGGTGATTTCAACCCGACACCCTGGTTTTACAGCATCTGGAGATGAATCTGGCGCTTATTACGCTGCAAATGAGGCTGGAACCTTACCCAGATTACCGATCCCGAATGTAGCTTTGCGGAGACCCTTGAGTTCTGAACCACGTCCAAGAGCTCAGCAATGAGATTGCATCTTCTTCCATTTCTGCTCACAAAAACTACCTTCTTAGCTAGTGTTTCCATCGAAACATCGGATTGGTTTCCACATCCAGGCGGAACGTCCCGAATCTTTCGAAGATACACAAAAGGGCGCGCTTGCATGCTCGCTATTTGTTTCAGTGCATTAGCCTTTCACACGTGCCGGCCTGTGTGACAGCCTACTTACAGCACCGTCTTTCGGGCGCTAGTGTGGCTGCAGTAGACCTGTCCAGGTAAGCATCGCATTCGGTGCCAATGCCGCCAACCGAGATGTCGCAATACTTGGCATCAATTGCGAACGTTACGCGAATAGTTCCCACCAGATGTCAGTCTGTTGAGATAATGCAAGGCTGGGCATGTCCACCTTTCTTCCTCTCGTTGGTAATCTCTTCTTGAAGAACTCGAAGATAACTAAACAAAGAGGTAACTGCACAGATTGGTTGCACGGATGATGTTTAGGACATTGTAGGTGTACGCTAGCCATGGCCAACCAGCGACCCCAGATCTCCCACGCGATCCGCCAACGCCTCAAACGCCATATCTCCGCCTTCGGAAGCCCAGACCTCACAAGCTCAACGCTTCGCTGGGCCCAGCCTGCCAAATTCCTCGTCTTCCATCTGCCAATAAGTAGGATTTTGCTCAATGCAAAGCACGTCATGATCGGGCGCTGTGCAGTGATAGCAATGCTGTACTGTGATTTGCACGGAAAGCTTCTCTCGCACGCTCTGCCCACGCCAAGCGCAATGTGCCGTCTTGTTAGACGTCAAATCCTTGGGATGGCGTCGGCCCATAGCACATGCGGCTGTGCCTCCGCCTTGGATCTCGAACTATGTGGCATTTCTATTTGACCGAAGTTTACATTCTCCCACTACTTCTCCACGGGGGGCTCGTTCACGCAACGTGCTATAAGGTTACACCCATCTTCCCTCGGTCTGGCAAAACGTCGGGTCTTCCAGATACTCGTGAACTTCTGTCAACGCACGCGACTCTGGGGACATCCACACTGCCGGAGCCCTACCTGACTTTTTTAATCTGTTATCCACGGAACCCTAGAAGCCCAAGACACAGCCATCGCTGACGACGTCCGCCAACATGGCATCCGCTGGTCAGAAAGCAGCCAAGGTGCTTGGAATCAACCTTGACTACCGAAAAGAGCCCGAGGTCTCTGGCGCTGCATCAATATCCTCCGTAGAAACATGTAAATACTGTATAGTCTGTCATCCGGCAGTAGCTAACGAAACGTAGACGTCGAGCGCGAACCGACCGCAAAGGAATGGCTTTCTCGATTCAAACCGTCAGCAACCGCCACAAAACGCTACCTAAGAAGTTTGTTTCCCTTCTGGGACTGGATCTTCCACTACAACCTGACATGGCTATTCGGAGACTTTATCGCCGGATGTACCGTTGGCTTTGTCGTTATTCCCCAAGGTATGGCATACGCTTTGCTGGCGAAGCTGCCTCCTGAGTATGGACTCTACACCAGTTTCGTCGGTTTCATTCTCTACTGGGCTTTCGCTACATCCAAGGACATCACAATCGGTACTGTTGCCGTTATGAGCACCATCGTTGGCAACATTGTCACCAAGATCCAGGATAAACAGCCGGAGATCGAAGCCGTGGACATCGCCCGGGCTCTTTCCGTCATTGCTGGTTCCGTTCTCCTGTTCATTGGTCTCACCCGTCTCGGAAGGATTGTCGAGCTCATTCCTCTGGTTGCGATCACCTCGTTCATGACCGGCGCTGCCATCTCCATTGGAGCCGGTCAGGTACCAGCGCTCATGGGCATCTCTGGCGTCAACACGCGTGGTCCCACATACCTGGTCATCATCGACACCCTTAAAGGCCTTGGACGCACAAAGCTGGATGCCGCTATGGGATTGACTGCCCTTTTCATGCTCTACGCTGTTCGCATCTTTTGCAACTTCATGTCGAAGAAGCAGCCATCGAAACAAAAGGTCTGGTTCTTCGTCAGCACACTACGGATGGCCTTCGTTATTCTGCTTTACATCATGATCAGCTGGCTTGCCAACAAGGACATCCCAGGTCTCCACAACGCGAAGAACGATGTCAAGATGGCAAAGTTCAAGATTCTGGGTCGCGTGCCACGAGGATTCCAGCACGCTGGAGCTCCGAAGATGGACACCAAGCTTCTCTCCGCAATCGCGCCTGACATTCCAGTCACTATAATCGTGTTGATTCTTGAACACATCGCAATCTCGAAGTCTTTTGGGCGCATCAACAACTACGTCATCAACCGTAAGTCATTCTCATGTCTCCGATGACGAAGTACTAACCCTGCTGTTTAGCCTCGCAAGAACTTGTCGCCGTCGGATTTACGAATGTTATTGGTCCATTCCTGGGCGCCTACCCGGCCACCGGCTCGTTCTCGCGAACCGCTATCAAGTCGAAAGCAGGTGTTCGTACCCCGCTCGCTGGTATCTTCACTGCAGTCATCGTCCTCCTCGCCTTGTATGCTTTGACGGCAGTCTTCTTCTACATCCCTTCGGCCGCCCTTGCCGCCGTGATCATTCACGCTGTCGGCGATCTAATCACGCCACCTAACGTGGTGTTCCAGTTTTGGGAAACGTCGCCTCTGGAAGTAGTGATCTTCTTTGCAGGTGTCTTTGTGACGATATTTACGAACATTGAGAACGGTATCTACGTTACCATCGCAGCCTCATTCGCACTCCTGCTTTGGCGCCAGCTGTTCACCCACGGAGCTGTGCTAGGCAGAGTCCGGATCTACATCGCCAGTCCAGAGACAATGGCCAACAAGGACGATGGTCACTTCGCCCCTGGATCTTCCGCTGCTGTTCGTGAAGCGTTCATTCCAATCAGCCGCAAGGATGGCTCAAACCCGCTGGTCGATATCGAGACTCCCTATCCCGGTGTACTAATCTACCGCTTCACCGAGGGCTTCACATATCTCAACCAGCAAGGCTACATGGATGAACTCGTTCATCATGCCCAGACCATCTCTCGCCCAACAACACTCGACAAGTACCAAAAGATTGGTGATCGGCCATGGAACGACCCAGGTAAGTTTGGTATATACAATGAGCCCTTATCACCGTACTAATTCTTGTAAGGCCCACGTCGCGGAAAACAGATCAACGTCGACGACGACCGACCCATCCTCCGCGCCATCATCCTAGACTTCAGCGCCGTCAACAACGTCGACGTTACATCCATCCAAGGACTCATCGACGTCCGCGCACAACTCGATCGCCATGCTGCACCCGAAACAGTAGAATGGCACTTCGCCTCAATCAACAGCCGCTGGACCAAGCGCGCCCTGACAACCGCTGGTTTCGGTTACATCGACCGCGAACGTTTCGCCGCGCGCCAGCACTGGAACCCAGTGTACAGCTACGCACCTCTCGATAACTCAGCGGCGAAGTTGCATGATGAGGAGGCGCAGGATGATATTCAGGCTGTTAATAGGAGTAAGGGTCTGCCGAGTGGCAAGGTGACCACGGTGCATGGACAGAACCGACCGTTTTTCCACATCGATGTTGCGGCAGCTGTTGAGAGTGCGATTGCGGGTATCAATGGAAAGCTGGCGCAGACTAGCTCGGGGAGCTCACATGAGCATGAAGTTGGTCAGACGGAGTTTACAACCAAACAAGATTAGATAGGTCGTTGTATACATTTTTCGGTTTGCCATGTTTTCGGCACACTCTTCTAAGACTTCGCGCACCCCTTTCGTGTGACAAACGCATTGATCCATATCGTTCATTCTTTCATAAGTTCATATATACAAGAGGAGGTCTCCCCTATCATAATCATATACAGCGAATCACTTCACCCAAACCACCTCACCACCCCATCTATCCACCTACTGCCTAACACACCCCGTCTTATCCGTCAACTCCTTCGGACACGTAACTTCCTTAAAGCTCACACTAGGGTTATCCGCATTCTTAAACCAATCGAACCGCCACTGGCAGCCCGGCTTTAGCTTCTCAGGGAAACCGTCACACTCGGATCTCGACGAAATACCGCCGTACTGCTGGCCCCAGCCGTTGGGCGGAGCACCGAATTGCGCGGTACACGCGTTGAAGATACCGACGCCGCCGCCGGGCATGGCGATGTCGAAGTGGTTGTCGCCGAGGTCGCCGCCGGTGTTTGTGGTTTGTACGATCATTTTCTTGCCGGAGACGGGGCCGGATGTGAATGTCATTCTGGAAGGAAGATTTGTTAGTCATGGTTCTTCGACGTTGAATAGGGTGGATAGGGTAGAAGTAAACATACTCGTAGCAAGCACAGCACCAATCACTCTCTGTCTTTCCAGCCAGCTTCACAGCCGCAAATCCGTATGCGAGATCATCGTTTACGGCCCAGGGGGACTGGTCGGTGCACATGTATGCCTCGCCTCCTCCGCTTTCGCATCCGCTCTTTGCGTTGAGGTTCGTGAGGGGGTTGTCGTTCTTGTCGCAGGTGGCGATGGGCTTGTTGACGGGGGCTTTTCCTGCCCAGGCGCAGGAGCCTTTGCAGCAGTCCCAGTAGCGTGTTGTTTTGCCTGTGGATTGGGCGGAGACGGTGGCGAGGCCGGTTGTGAGGGCCAGGAGGGAGAGTTGCTTGATGGATACCATGGTGGGCGGGCGGTTCTGTAGATCTTTTTTGGGAGATGGAAGTTGGATTCGGAGAGCTTGTCGATTTACAGTGAACTTGGAGAGAGCAGCTTGACGTTTATATATTGTCATATATGCCAAGTTACTTCCCCATCCCATCCATGACGAAACATCATCTAGACTTACCATCTACCCCACAAAATGCCATCAACGCCTGTCCTAGCCACCTTCCCGTCCTCCCACACGGTACCAAACAGCCCTAAGAGCCCTTGCAACCGGTGGCACAAGGCCGCAGCCGAGATGATTTCTGGATCTCAAGAAACGCCCAGCACGTCAGCACCCACTGTTAGCGCTGCACACGTGTAAAAAACAAGAGCAAACATGCTTGCCCAAAGTCATCATTTTCATCTATTGGAGTAAGCGGTCAAACTTGGCCTGCGGTGGCAGTGGACAAAGAGGTGCACGACACATGGTGCACTAGGACGCGAGGTTCATATATTGCGGCGCTATTGTCGGCTCCTTCTTACTCGCTGGTAAAGTGCCGGGACGTAATTCCCGGACCACCACGTTTAATGAGGCGCCCGGGAGTTTTGCTGGCTGGATGCTGGACACAGCGGGGTGCATATACGAGGTGTTTGATAAACATTCCGCGAAAAGCTTGATTTTGAAGGACGTTGCGGCTGAACGTGCAGTTCGCTGATGGTCGTACAAACATCTTGGGAAGTCAGGAGCCGGAGATGTTGTAGAACAAAGGGCGGTTTAGCGCAGTTTCAGAATCATACCGATGTTCTTCCTAGCATGGAACACGGAAATGGCCAAGGGTCTTGCATGCCGCGAAGGATGGAGCGTTCATTGGTTGATTTATGCGATTTAATTTATTGCAGCGTCATTCTTCGGCTGCTCGGGATGTACATGAGGCTGATGACGAGAGGGGTGGTGAAGTTGTGCTTGGAATGTGTACAATCGCTGCGAGTGCTAGAGCACATTCTGCAAGCGATTTGCAAGTGCTCATCGCAAAGCGTCGCCGGAAATCTCGTGCAGAGGTACTTGGGCGAGTACCACTACGGCCTTTTGCGATCTTAACATTTGTCGGTGTGACTAGTGGTCAAAAATGCGTGGCGCCCCACTGTCTTGCGGCTACTTCGCAAACGTTCAGCTAACAGCCTGCATGCATTTGGATAGCTTCGCGCCGGATTCCACAGTCCTGGTATTCGTTTTGGGCTATGGTCGGTGAAGTGTAAAGTGCCGAGCGACTGTTTTGGTGGGTTGGAGACACTGAGCTGTCGGAGAACGCTCCGGTGCCGCTCGTTCGTGGCATGATGTGCATTCCAATGGGTCCTTACTGAACTCGTGAACTCAGCCCAGATGACGGGCGTGTTGGCTTGTATAACCTCTCAGCTGGCGGCTGAAGCATCACATTCCAACCTCGCTCTTAGACGCTTCCAACACTATCATGATTCTGGGACGATGCGACCAGCTGTCACTTATACGTCACCGTGACCTTTTTATATACGTGAGTAGTGAACCGTAGGTGTATATGTAGACTACTATTGAGAGTATGCCTTTCATGAGCGGCGACTCTTCGCTGCGCTTTGTGAAGCTTGACTTTATAGCTCAGGCTGTAGACCCGCGAGTGGAAAGTGAATCCCAGCAAAAGGACACAAGAAGCGAAAAGAACACCGTTGAAGAAATGACACCAAAGAGCGCCCTCCGCCTCTGATACCACCAAGTATCTCCAGAAATAATGAGGTCGAACCCGTGTGACCTGAGGACCCAGTAGAACATCAGCACCAATCCAACGACTCTTGGAGTATGCTTGTTAATCAACAGAGCTCTAAGTTTGCAGCAGTTCTCCATGCGCGCTCAGCGTCAACGCTGACGATCTCTGCCTTCCACATATCGGTTGTACCATATTAAAACCGTGATGCTTAGAACGAAGTAAAGTACATAACCGGCAGCAAGGGCCCACACTTGCCGTTGAGTAATCTCGGGATGTTGGACAGCGATACCCGGCTGCTGCCGTTGGAAAAACTGTTGACTCATGGTAGAAGTTTGGTAGTGCAACGTTCCTTTTGGACTGGTTTGCCGTTGCTTCGCCGTTACTTGGGTCGTATTCGGGCGCTGAGCGTTGAGAAAGTTAGTATGCTTTTTTGAAAGACAAGGAGTAGTCGTGAGGTTAGCTTTTATACACAGTTGATACACGCAAGGCTATTGAATCAAAGAAGCAAGACTGGAAGGGGATGTTGTGAAGCCGACAAAGAAGAATGTGTGAAGACAGGCATTGAAACAAGACCCCTTCGTGGTTTGCTGCTGTTCCTTCGCGGACAGAAGGAAAACAATCATGCGCGTTGTTTGAACCACCGTCGCATCGGCAGGACTCTCGTATCACAACCCGAACTTTGACGCGCATAATTTCTTTTCAGTGTTGAACGCCTCCAAGCGGAGTAGCGTGAGTGGTGGACTCGACAGGAACGGCGGAAATGAGGTATCGTGAACTGCCCATGGGACGTCGAAGCATGGAATATCCCTCACAAAGATCAGGTGAGGGCACTCCGAGGGTACTCCTTTTGTCGACGCGCGTTCATTTGGATTGATGATGGAGATCAACGCCAGGATACAAACTTCCACAATGAGGCAGCAGGAAATGCCGATCCGAATCCGCGATGCCCGAACCAGCCACCTGAAACGGGCCATGACGTAGCGCTAGAAGCGGTAGGCGCAACGCCTCATGCCCCAGGTTACCAGCCCCTCGGCACCCATTACCACTCCCAAAACTCTGCCGCTGTGCAGCTTCACGCCCCCGTAAGCTCGTACGGCGCAGCCCCAGAGTAGCATCAGCAATGCTGCAAGGTCAGCGCCGTGCTTCATAACGCGCCATTATCATGCTGCCCTGCTCACCGCGGTTTGTGGCGATCCTGCTCGCACGGGAATGACACGCCGTGACAGGTCCGGCGCATTTGACGAATCCACACCGGGGGCATTGATCGCCAGGTCGCTTCGGCCACTTGCGCACACGGTCATGCCAAAAGGTTATGATCGCCATAGCCTACAAGTCGCTCAAGAGGAGCATGCCTCCTCCCTTGAACCTTCCTCTTCTTTCCTTATTCATACGAACTACACTCCGCTGCTACCTCGCTCCCCGCTTTGCCCAACCTCCGCCGGCATCCGATGGCTACGGCACCGCATCTCCACTCTCTATCAGAACACTAGCGAGATCCATACACACGTTCATTCTTCTTATTACTATACTGTCCTTTCCAGCTACTACACTCTTTACTTAGACTATTCGCGGTTCAGCCCGGCGCTGCACCACCACTATTAGACCGCCATGCCTAATCGCTCCTTCCTATGCCGACTAATCTTCTGCGCCGTATTCGCCGTATCCGTCCTTAATATCTTCACCAAGGCCACCCCGCCACTCTTCCACGCCGCAAAGACCTCTGCGCATGAGCACCCCCAGGAACTCTTTTGCCCGCAGTCCAAGCTCGCCGATGACGTCTTGGTCGTCTTGCGAACCGGGGCCACCGAATCACTCGAAAAGGTGCCGGTGCACCTCCGTACCACGTTACGTTGCGTCCCCCATTATGTTATACACTCGGACCTGGAAGAGGAGATAGACGGACACGTCGTCCACGACGTCCTCGAAGGAGTTAGCGAAGAGACGAAGAAGACGAATGACGACTTTAAGCTGTACCACCAACTACAAGAGCACGGAAGACGAGGTGTGAAACAACAAGAAGTTCTCACATCGCTATCCGGATCGTCGCAGGGTGACTACCTGCGAACCGACAACGATGGCTGGCAGCTCGACAAGTGGAAGTTCCTTCCCATGATTGACCAAGCACTCGAGGAGAAGCCGGACGCGAAATGGTATTTCTTCCTGGAAGCCGACACGTACCTAAACTGGAACAACCTACTCGAATTCCTCAGCAACTTCGACGACAGCAAGTCCTACTACATCGGCAAGCACCTCTTCATCAACGAAGTCGAGTTCGCCTACGGTGGCGCAGGCTTCGCCCTCTCTGCCCCCGCCGCACGTAAAGTCTCCGCCCAACGCTCCCCCCGCATCTCCGAATACGAAGACTTTACCAAAACCCACTGGGTCGGCGACTGCGCTCTTGGCAAAGTCCTCGAAGACGTCAACATCCCCCTCCACCGCGCCTTCCCCCACTTCCAAGGCGACTCCCCCGCGACACTCGACCCTGCGACTTCCAAAATCGACCGCGACCTCTGGTGCTACCCGGCTGTAACGTATCACCACGTTTCGCCCACCGAAATCCAAGAACTCTGGTCTTTCGAACAGGACTGGTACAACAGACACCCGATTCTGCTGCGCCACCGCGACATCTTCATGGAGCTCGTGCGACCCAAGATCGGTCCTTCGGTCACAGCCTGGGACAACATGTCCGCAGACAAAGAATACAACGCCCACGACCACTCTGCCGTCGCCAACGAACTCGAGCGCAACGCCTGGAAATCTTTCGAACACTGCCGCACGCTGTGTGAGGAGCAGGATGATTGCATGCAGTTCTCATTCAACGAGGGCAGTTGCGCAATCTCCAACAGCTTCAAACTGGGTTACGCGAAGCCCGGTGCGCGGATACGGAGTGGCTGGATGGTTGATCGCGTGGACGATCTCTTCAGGAGTCTAGAGGAGCAGTGCGGACTCCGGGATTGGTTTGCGCCGATGGAGACTCCGAAGGAGAGGGATAATAGTGAGTTGAAGATTAAGATGAGGAGGAAGAGGAATGTGATGTGAGAGTCCCTCACTTAACAAACAGCGATGGTCTTGCGTTACAGCAGCATCAGCATTGGCGTTTTTTCATGGTTTGATGGTTTGCTTGCGCTTTTTTTGTGTGGTTTGATTTGTTTTGAATGCAGATGGAGATGATGATACCCCCCAAGACACTCGCTTTAGATTCATAAGTTTCAGTACTATATACTACATCGTTGGATGGATGGATGGATGGAAGGCTGCACTGCGCAGGACCTCAACTCAAGTAAAAAAGAAGAACAAATAA